ATGCCTGGGTGAATTTACAATGTATATGTGCTTATCTTGTAATTGTATTTACACATCAAAGACCACTAGGGATGAGATAATGGCTAAAAAGGACATAAAAAGGAAACATTGAACAAACTGGCTAAACAAAGGGGCAGGGGGATACTGACCAGACCGGTTTCTGGCAGTCCCGCCTGCTTGCAAGTAGAACTTTTATTATTTTACCCAAAGTCTATGTCTCTGTGTATTTCTTTCCAAGATTTCCGGAACACCGTGACTTTTTATTTTGAGACAGGATCTTGCTAAGTTGCTCGGGTAAGCCTTGAGTTTGTAATCCTCCTGCTTCAGCCTCCCAAGAAGCTAACATGTACATCTAAATTGTGATAGTCTCAAGAGCGTTCACAAGTTAGGTGTGGCATGGCTCCTTCAAACATGTTTTTTTGGTACCAGGGATCAAACTTGGGACCTTGTGCTTTTGAGGCAGGCGCCGGAACCACTGAGCTAAATCCCCAGCTCCTTCAAACATTTTATCTTTCCTCTTCCCAACAGGACTCTGAACTCAACAGCCATTTATTCCCATTTCACGTAAGTTTCTGAAGGGTGCAGGGGGGTGACCCATCGTGACTTGGGAGAGGCTGATTTGGTTCTGGGTTAGCTTGGCTGGAGAGTTCAGCTCTTAAGAACATCTTACGGGGGTTTAGGTATTTGGGGAAAAGTTCATTTTCATTCTTGCAGCTAAGATTACAGATAATGTAAGAAGGGGTCAGGCATGGAGGGCAACAGGCATAGCTGCCCTGGAGGTAGGTCCACATCTGTGCCCCTCGAATCCTCTGCCTGGGGGCCAAAGGGTGATGGGCACCTGACACAGACACCATAGGTCTCAGCAGTGCCCTCCCATCACACCAGACCTTAGGCCTCCAGCCTCCTCCACCCACTGCCCACAGAAGAGGAAGCAAGTGTGCAAGGACCAAGCGCACACAGGATGTGGAGCCACACCAGGGCAGCCCTTCCACTCCACTGGCCACACACACACACACACACACACACACACCCTTCCTGTGTGGGTTTCTCTCTTGTCAGGAAATCCTTCAAGTTCCCATGCTAGTTCATTGGTACAGTCTGCTTGGCCACCTCAGACCCACGAGGCATTGCCCTGTCTCCCTCCTGCTTTACACCCGGCAACACTGTCTGCCAACTCTAAACTGCACTGGAGGGCTCGGGGCCCCTTCCTCACCACCAGGCCCAGGCGGCGCTGCTCATCCACTCGCTGCCCCTCATGTGGCTGCCAGACGCAGCAGCCCCAGGGAGCCGAGTGCCAGGGACCAGCAGGGCAGGCAGACCCTGATGCACAACTCACCTCGCTCCTCTCCAGGGCACAGCAGCTCCAGAACTTTCTAAAAGTCTGATCCGAAGTACTTGCTGTGTTAACACAGTCCAGGCCTTCCCCTCACAGTAGGAAAATCCCGGTCCTCAGGTGAGGGTGTGTGGGAGACGCACCTGGGATGGGCTTCCTGCTTCTCTTCCCCATCTGGATGCTGACCAGGGGTGCCTGACCCCTGGCACTTGCTCACTCACACTCCTGACTCAGCAGCCTCCTCTTGATGCCTGGGACACATCTGCCCCTGCCTGCCTCTAGAACCCGTTATTCCTCCCCCTCTGGGAGCTGCCTCCTCTTGCCCTTCAAAAGCCAGCTGAAATGCCCCCAGGCCAGAGACTGTCCCCAGCAGCCAGCAGCGGTGCTTGCCTCTGAGCAGTCCCAGCCTCCACAGCTCTTCCCACAACTTGTACATCTTCACTGGCTTGCTCTGTCTTCATCAAACAAGTGCACAACAAAGATCTTGTCTGTCCGCTCACTGACAACCCCAGTGCCCAGGGCAAAGCCAAAGTTAAGTATTTGCAAAATGAGTGAACAAAGGCATTAAGGATCCAAGCAAGTTAGCTCAGCTTCTGTACCTCACTCTCTTCATCTTTAAAATGGGGCTGCTGGGTGCACTGGTGCACACTTGTAGATCCCAGCACTTGGGAAACTGAGGCATGAGGATTGCTTGAGTCCAGGTATTTGAGGTCAGCCTGGGTAACAGCAAGAAAGGACTCAAGAAGAAGAAAGAGAAGGTGGAGAAGACAAAAAGGAAAGAGAAGAAACTAGCGCACGAGAATCAGAGCGTCGCAGAGCTGCCCTGCTCAGGGCCACGGAGCAGTGCTGTCATGGTGGACAGACGCATTCACATGAGGGCGGGCGTGCTCAGCCTTCCACAGAAGGGGTGACTGCTCATGGCTTTTTGGTACTGGGGACTGAACCTGGTACCTCACGGATGCTAGACAAGCTCTACCATGAACTATATCCCTAGCTCCTCTTATTCTATTCTGAGACAGGGTCTTGCTAAATTCCTAGGCTGGCCTCAAACTTGCTGTCCTCCTGCCTCAGCCTCCTGAGTGGCTGCAATTACAGTGTACCTGCTGCTCTTGAAGAACAAGTCACAGATGGACAGTGGCTGAAGAGAAGGCACCACTAGCCAGGGGAACAAGTGGCGCCACCAGCAGGCAGAGGCTGGGGGCCCAGTGCCTCAGGCATAGGAGGGAGGGTGAGACTGGAGGTGGCCACGCTGTTTCCCTTTGCGTCCAACTAGAGCAGAGGCGGCAGCTAAATCTGCCCCTTCCAAGGTGATGCACCTGTAAGCAGGTGACGCTCACTGGGCTGCCTGAACTAAGTGCTGGACTCGGCCCCTGGGGCTCCCTCCCATCATGACACAGAGGGTCACCCGGTAACTGCATGGCCAAGGGGCTGCCACACACCCTCTCTGTGCCTGTGTGCTCCAGTCACGCTCTAAGGGGATCAGGGCCTCCCAATCAAAACCACCCAGGAACGGCCTGGGGAGGAGGGTGAGGGTGGGGCCTGCAGACCCAGACCTGCATGCGAGTGCCGTCTTCTCTGGGCGTGTCTGTGGAACCTGAACACGTGTCTCCTCTTGGGACCTGGGCACAGACACACATCTCTCCTGACCTTCCTCTCCCCTTCCCTCCCCTCTCTGTCCCCAGAAGCCCTCCCACTTCACAGTCTACCTCCTGTTTCCCATCATCTATCTTTTATTTTGCTCTTTAAATTCTTTACATTTTGGGGGGAAACCCAGTAACTTAGTTACACTTTGGGTTTCCTCGTGTAGGAGAAAGCATGTGCTACGGACGCTTGTGTGTTTGACTGTCCCATCTTCCAGGGAGAGTGGGGCCTCTCCACACAGCACAGTTATAACATGGCAGGAGGAAGGGGTTGGTTAAGCTGCTTGGTGATGAAGACAGTAAGTGCTGGGCTGGGGACAGAGGGAGACCGGGTGGCTTTGACTCACTTCCCACACGGGACAGGATGCTGCCCAGGCTCCTCCCAGTCACTTATCTAACTGTTGCCGAGAGCACAGCTCAGTGTAGCATGCTTGCCTGGCATGTGCAAAGCCCTGGGTTCCATTTCCAGCTAAACACGCACACACGCACACACTGCCCATCCTTTAAGGCCAGCTCTGCTCAAGGGCCACCTCTTCTCTGAATCCCCACACCCTGGTCCCTCCTGTCTTTGACCTTGGGCTACTCTGAGGATGTGCCTGCCCCACCCAACAGCTTCCTACCCTGGCTCCACAGTTAGACCCCAAGCTCTAACTTAGTGTCACCACATATTTACTGACCGCATGGATGTGCTCAGCACCATGCTAGGCATGGTACATACGTGACGTAGGTTGGTTTTTTGTTGTTTTTTTTTTTGGTACCAGGGATCAAACTCGGGTCCTTGCGCTTGCGAGGCAGGTGGCAGAACCACTGAGCTAAATCCCCAGCCCAAGGTAGGTTGTTATTATACCCATTTTACAGATGGGGAAACAGGCACAGGGAATTTAAGTAGCTCGCTGCAGGTCCCCGAGTCAGCAGGCAGGCTACCTCCAGAGCCACTGCTCCTAACACCACTTTGTAGCAACCCTCAGTGCTGCTGTACACAGAGGAGCTCCCTGCACATGGGGCTCACAGCAAACACCCAGAGGTTTGATCTTTGCTTCCTTTGCTGCAGGCTGCTAGGACTGTGGCTCCACTTGGGGAAGTCGGCACCAATGAGCCAGTAGGTGGCAGCAAGGAGCCAGGCCCTCTTGAGGGAGGAACACGAACCATCTAGGGCAGGGGTCTTAGGCACTTCATAGGCCGCCTCGCTCCTCTGGAGTCCTGGAAGGCGGGCACTGTGGCCTTCCCAGTCTGCACTGAGCACAGGGCCTGTGGCTCAGACATGTTGCGATGTCCGCCTAGGTCAGGCAGCTCTAAATGCTATGCATGGCACCAGGGCAGCCTAAACCCAAGCCCCACAGTTCCTGGGAGACAGACAACCCAGCAAGCCCTTGGAGTGTTCACTAGGCAGGGTAGGCTCCAGCCCTCCTCCTCCGTCCCCAGAGAGCACAGAAACCACTCGGCGGCCCAAAGGAAGCTGCCTGAGTGGTGTCCTCAGTGGAGAGGGGGTGAGGACTCAGCCGCTCAGGGCTAGGTGGGTGTCAGGGAACAGCAGCCATCACATGTGCCAGACCCACTTCCTGGCCGTACCAGGGACACAAGAGCTGAAGGATGAAAACACCTCGCCCTCCCCGCTTTGATGGGAGCTGACGTCTCAACCATAGTCACGGAGAAGACAGCCAGGCATGGTTCCATGACCACTGGAGACAGACAGCCATCTAAAGAACTTTCATGGCACCCTCCCGACAATCGCCACGTCCACACCTGAAGTCCAGCCCTTGTGGGCCTGCCCGTCAACACCAGCTGCAGGGTGTGTGGCCCAGGCCTGGCTCTGTCCCCAGGCCCTATGTGGCCCGTGGCTCAGTATGGCAGCGCAGGGACCCAGGCCGTGAGCTTGGGAATCTGGTGCTGTTCCTGGCTGAATCCATAGGGGCACTGGCTTTGGGACACCCTGGTGCTTGTCTGGCCATTGTGTCCAGCCTGCCCCCAGACCGCCTGCTTTCCCCCGGCCCTCCCAGGCTCACAAAGCCAGATAGGTCCTTTGCACATGCACAACACCTCAGGTTTATTGGGGGCGGGTGGGCAGGGCAGGCAGTCTGACCCTGGCAGCATCACGCCTGCTCCACTCTGTTCTCATGGCACTTCTGGGGGCCTCCCTGTGGGTCCCCTCCATGTCTCCATGTCCTGCACACACGTCTCAACCACCTTGCTCCCGAGTCTCTCATTCCTTCACCAGCCGGTAGATGTGGTGCTGAGCCCCGTGCTCACTGGCCGACACCTCAAAGACGTATGCAATGCACAGCAGGGTCTCCTGGGTGTCTCTGTCAGTGACCACCTGCAGTGAGACAGATGGGTGAAACCTCTGGAGGGGCCCTTGGTGCCCCCTGCCTGCGCCCACCTGTGTGCACCTGCAGGATGGTGAAGTTCTCCAGCACGCTGTTCATCAGGCACTTCTCGGGCAGGTGCTTCAGCTTGTGGATGAAGCCGATCATGTACCGGCAGAGCGGTGAGCGGTGGATGCGGTAGGAGTAGTGGCCGTTCTCATAGCGAGCGTACTCTGTCTGCAGATGCAGGGGACAGCAGGCACTTAGCATCCCCTCATCTGCACCCCAAGCCTGCTCTGTGGGAGGCGCCACAATCAGAGCAACTGTCACACAGGAAGAAAAGGCAGGAGGCTGGAGGCCCAGGAGCAGAGCCACGCTGAGGTGGGTAGACAGTAAGCCAGGCCTCTCTCCCGTCAGCCGTGGGCAGACACTGGGCACCAGTGTCTTAGAGATGCAGCGGTCGAGGCCATGATGAGATGGGCCGGCAGCATCTTGATTCTGGCTGCATTAACGCAGGCAGAGTCTGCCCCGTTTACATGCACAGCACAAGCACTACTGGTGAAATCGAACCAGACCGCTGGATCCTATGAAGGCTGATTTCCTAGCTGCTAACGTTATTCTCCACTCCTGTAGGATATTGCCAGGCCAGGAGCAGGGTGAGGCCACATGGGATCACAATTACCGTTCCACAAAAGTAAATACAGATAGATATATAAATAAATAAGTAACTTGAGGAGCTAGGCAGGGTCCATGCTTAGCATGCACAAGGCCTGAGTTCAACTCCCAGCACCAAAATAAAGAAAGAGAAGGAAAATTGCTGTTGCCCATATTCTGCCCCCAAGATGGCAAAGCCACCAACTGAGGCCAAGTGGATCCAGGGCATCCCCAGAAAACAGGAAGTCTCTTCCGTGGCACTGGTTGGCACCTGGTTAACAGGTGGATGTGAGTGCTGGGGTTTGTTAATCAGACCAACGCGAGGAGAGACGAGGACAGGGACAGAGACCCACGGTGCTCTGGGTCACGGGCGTCCCACATCCTCGTCACTCTCGAGGTGCAGAGCACCAGAACATCAGAGGACAACTTGCTGCTCACTGAGCGACAAGCAGGGTTTCACCACAGCCCTCAACATGCCTTTGGCCAGTGTGCTCGAGAGACTGCTGGAAACTGCTGCCCAAAAGGAAGTGAATTTTTTGTCACTTCCACTAGTGTGGGTCTCCTGGGAACTAAGAAATCACAAAGTGGGGACACAGATTTGAGCATGGAGGAAGGCAGGGGCAGGGAACGCAGACCCTGGAGATCACTTGTCTCTCTTCAAGGAGACCACATGCAGGGCCTTCCTCTTTCTGGGCTCACTCAGGCTCAGCTCCCAGCCCCGGGTGCACCCACCCCACTCTCGGAGAGGATGTGTGTGAACACAGAGTCCTATCCCAGAGGCTCAGACAGGCAACAGTGCTCCTGTCAGAGGCTGCACAACTAGAAGGCCTCTTCCTGAGTGCGTGCAGAAGCCACCACCTCCCACAGGCCTGCTCCGAGGATGCCCAAGTCACCCTACCCGCCCCAGGCCAGCCTCCTACCTCCACCTTCTCCACCACCTGCTTGCCGAACAAGCACACCTTGGTGGAGCAGGTGATGATCATGTTCTCGGGACTCTCGTACTGGCTAGAGACCCCGTAAAAGGAGTGGCCTTTGTCCTCGAGGTTGGTGTTGAGGTCCGCCTGCAGGGGGAGACAGGAGGCTGAGGATGCGATCTGCAGGGCCCTGCCACAGGGAGAGGCTATGAGTCTCATAGCAGTCTCCGGCTGGAAGAATCCAGAGGGTGAACAGAGCAAGTGGACAGCAGACTGGAAAGCTTCACCGTTCTCATCCTCACTCCCAGGCTCCTTGTGAAGTCTCTCATGCAACAGAAAGAGAACCCTAGGGCTGCTTCAGTTTCAGGCCACTGCTGCCACCAATGCGGACACCCCTAGCAAGCAGGCTCCCAATTGCGCCTCTGGTCTTGGAGTTTCATAGTCTGACTTTGTTTTGTTAAACTGCAGATATGCAAATCCTTATCAGAATGAATTTATCAGAACTTTCCCACAGTCAGTTCTGATAATAAAGCGGGAGAGCAGGAACCCAGAAGAGGGAGGCTCCTCCCTGTCCCATCTCTTCTGGGCCTTCACCACACCCTGACGGTGTCTTTTCTGAAACAGCTCTGACCACAGGGTTCAGCCACCCTCCATGTTTTTCCACGGTCTTCCTGGCCTTCCTCCCACCACTCTTCCTCCCTCTGGGCATTCTCTTAGCTGCTGTAAGAGCTCTTTGCAAAAACCAAGTCTAACTCACCACCCTATAGCCCCAACTGTCTCACGGAGCCCTTCTGCCGCAGGGGCCTGAGTCCCACCCTGTGCCCACCTAGCTCCAAGGGCCCTTCACTAGCCCTGCAGCTGGTACTGTGCACCTGCTCCTCACCGGCCGGAGGTGCTTACTTCCGCTGCTGGATGTGGGGCTGATCGGAACGTACCTGCAACAGCTGCTTCTCAGCACAGGTGGAGCAATTCTCCTGGCATCACACAAGATTCCCCAGCCTTGGTTACCAGGGAGACTCCCGGACTCAGGTGGGGCTTGCCCAAGGCCACACAGCTTACAGGTGACAGGCTCGGGTCTGCAGGCTCCCAACCCAGCAGAGGGAAGGTTGAACCAACTGGCTGCCATGGGCACTCCCAGGCCAGAGCTGTATTTCTGAAGCCCTTGGCCATCTAGGGGCCCCACCCCAGAACTTGGGCTCCACAACAAACCATCCTGCCTGAGCTATGGTTGCTAACAGAACAATTTTAGACTCAGAAAAATGCACATATAACAGAAGGAAAATTCTTAGGAGGCCTCTCACCCACCCACATTACTGGTCTGAAATTACTACTATGCTGGCACCAGAGCACGGCCCTGTGGATGCAGGGGGAGCTGCAGGCTGTGACCTAAACTCTGCTGCACCAAGACAAGGGCTTCCAAGAACCCCAGGAAGGTTTGAGCATGAGAGCCAGGGAAGCCAGTTCTGTTGCTGGCCGCTAGGGGACGCACATATGCCATTTTGCTCTCCTTTGAGTTTTCCAAGAACAAGAGTTTTCTACACAATGGGCCGTTGTCTTAGAACAACAGAAACATTGTGTGGCCACATAAAATGTTGAGAAAGGCCTGTGTTTATTATTATGGGTCAATACCAACATAGTGAGGCCAGGCTCGGGAGGCTAAGGCAGGAGAATCACTGGGAGTTCAAGGCCAGCCTGTGCTACACTGTGAGACCCTATCTCAGAAAAACAAAACAAACTAACAAAAAAACCCAACAGGCTGAGTGAGAAAGGCAGGAAAGGGGACAGAATGAGAATGATTACTTTTAGGATGTCTTCATGTTGACATAGCATGCATATGGTTCACTGTGCTCGGCACTGGTTTTAACAAGGCTGTTGGGAGGAAAGAAGAAAAGAAGACTTGCAGCAGCATTCCAGCCAAAGCCCAGCCTCTGGAGCAGCCATACCTGTCACATCCTGCACTCCTACCCCAGGCTGGCCCAAGCTGCACACTCTGACTCCATCGCCACCCTTCCAGGAGGGCCTCTGCTGGGGGATGAGGCACACAAGGGATCCTGGTTCCTAGCAGAGGTGACGCAGGCCTCTGCAGAGCTGGAATCCATGGTATCCACAGCCCGAGTTCTTCTTGGGAAACAGGTGAACCAGAACCCAGGCTTTCTGTCTGCTCATTCTCTCAGTCATGTAGTCCTCCTAGGTGACAAGTTTGTCACACATGGGCTGAGGACAATCTGTGTGCTCAGGGTGGGCTGCAACCAGCGGCACAGGGCACAAATGCGGACCTGAACAGCAGGAGGCCCAGCTGCCTGGGAAGCTAGTGCCGGGCATGGGGGGATCGAGGGACGAGGCTGGACACCGCATGGTGAGGACCCTCAGGTGCCTGACCAACGCCAACCCATGGGTGATCCCATGCCCCCTGTGGTGCCAGCTCACTTTTATTCCTTCATCCCATGCTAAGTAACACATCGTGAAAGCAAGGATTCTGTTTTTCCCAACATAAGTGAAAAGAAGGACATGGTGATTAAAGAAGCAATGTTGAAGCCTGTGCCACCTAGAAAGTGCCACGTGTTGCGAAGACCTGGCGCCAGCCCCTCCTGGGCTTGTCCTCCCCACGAGGCAGAACTGCCCCTGCAGTGGGGCGGGAGCTATGTGAACACCCATTTCACTACCCCACGCTCTCTGGTCCAGGTGGGACGTTGGCTGGGGGCAAGAACAGGGTGTCCTTCAACCCAGGGCTCTTCAGTAAACATTCACTCACTGTTCCACCTTTACTGCTGGGTGGTGCGGTGTGAGGCGTGGACCCACCTGCTCACCCGGAAGTTCTCCAAGCCCCAGCTCCACCCTATCAAATATACCATCCTCATCTCCACTCCCTTGGCCCTTCCAGTCACTCAGTCATCCACTTATCCAGCCCCAGCCCGGGACAGAGGGGAGAAAGAGCTCAAGGTATTATTTCTCCTCTCAGGGAATTTGTCAGCAGGACAGCAAGTGGACTTGGTGGCTAGTGGCACCAGGAAGGAGAGCAATCCCACAGATGAATCAGGGTCGGCCCAGAACCTGGCCTGGTTGCCCCGCATAAGACCCAGGAGATGCTGGGCAGTGATGCAGAGGCTTCACTCCGGAGCACCTCAGCCCAGCCTGGGTGCCCAGAGCTCTGCAGCTATGCTCCAGCCACTGCCCACAACCTGCAGCCCCCTTCTCAGCACCACCTGGACACGCCTGGCTCCTTGGCCTTCCCTGCCAAAGGGGAGTCTTCTGCCAGCCCCACCATGCTGCCCTCTGAATGCCCCTTCCCTCCCTCTACCCTATTCATAGCTGTTCAAGAGTGGGCAGCTCTCAGGCTGGGCCTGGAGCAGGTGTGGGGGATCGGGTGACTGACAGATGAGCCCGGACAGCTGCAGCCTGGGTGTGGGGGCCCACGGGGCTCAGATTCACTGTCATGTGCTGGTATGTGCCTGGGAGAAATGTCAGGGCCGGGAGGGCCCGAGCGCAGGCTGGGATGGCAGGAAGGCCGGGACCAAACTTCTGCCACCAGGGCTCAGCTCAGGCCCTCCCAGCATTCCCCCCACACCCAACCAGTACTAGGGATCGAACCCAGGACTTGTGGATGCTAGGTGCCAGGCAAAAGATCTACCAGTGAGTTACATCCCCCACCCTTATTTTTTTTGAGACAGGGTCTAGCTAAGTTGGCCAGGCTGGCCTTGAACTTGCAATTCTCCTGCCTTGGCCTCTGGAGTAGCTGCTCTGATTACAGGCATGAGCTGTGACTCTGCTCAGCATTTTCAACATGCAGATTGGTGTTGATGGCCCATAATGTCCAAGAATCCCCTCTCTCCCACCAGAACAATGACTTTTCTGGTCTCAGAGCTTAAGAGCAACAGTGGGGAGCAGCTGTCCCCAGCTCTGGGCTCCAGCGTTCACTGGACAGAGCCCTGCCTCAGTGACTCCCCTCCCTCTCCAGTACACAGATGCCATTTCCAGCAGGGACTTGTCTTGGCAGGACATGAGTCTATAGATTGCTACCATAATCTGATCAAAGAACAGTGACTTTCAGGGGGACAGAGGCAGGAGCTCGGACTGGCGACACTGCCGCTCTGTGAGGATTCTGACCAACTCTTCAGTGCCGAGAAGCCAGAACTTAGCAGGCTGGGTGGGAAAGGCGATACAGCCACAGCTGACTGGTCTCACTGTTAGCACTCAGGGTACCTGCTCTTGGGGGCTCCAGGAAGCAGGGCAGAGCTCTCCCTCACTGCAGCTCAGAGCCCCAGCCTCTCGTGTGCCTCAAGGACAGACAGTGACGGGCACACAGAAGCCGAGATTCGCCAGGTCTGAGCTCTCAAATGGCCTGAGTGGGCAGCCTGCCTTATTTTGTCTCCACATCATGGACACAACCAGGACCCCGAGCTCCAAAAGACTGGAGTGGTGTTGGCTGTGGGCACCGTACGTGGCCAAGTGTGTGCATCTGTGAACCTGCTTAGCCAGACTTCCCCAGACAGGGTCCCCACACACTCTGCTACAAATCCCCACAGGCAGCTTCCCCTAGGGGAAAGGAGAAGATGGCAGGAGCCATGAGCAAGGCGGGAGGACACGCTAGCTTCTCCCAACCTGCCGTCTTTGCGCCTCCCAGGAGACAGCATCCTCCTTGTCTTCCGGAAGGAAGTTCGAGGTCCAGAACAATCCAAGAGGCCCAGCCACCCACACCAGATATGGACTGTAGGGTCAGGGGTGTCTACTGTCTCCATGCTGCTCCCACACCCTGCTCATGAGCAGGCCAGAGAACCTGCACGGGCACAGGAGAAGCGCTGCGACCCCAGTGGAAAGGAGGACAGGGTGGTGCCACAGATGCAGGCACCCAGAGCCAGGCTACTAGGTCTAGATTTGGGCCTGGTACCATATTGAACTGGTAAACTCTGGTAAGGTGCTTAACCTGTCTGTGCCTCAGTTTCCCCTCTGTAGGTGAGCTTATCGGCTGGAACTACCTCTGGGACGTGGCCAGGTTTAACCATGTCAGTGCACGTGAAGTGCTGAGGAGGGTGCCACTGTAATCTTTCGGTCTACGTCATCATCCCACGGCGTGGACAGACAAGAGCAACCCTGCACACCTCGAAGCCAGGTGTTCGCTTGCTCTGTGCCCGTTTTCCCCATTTGTGAAATGGAGGCCTAAGGTGATCCTCATATGGAGGGAGAACACAGAACATTACCAAAAACCACACTAGGGGTATCGCTCAGGGCTAGAACAGTTGCTTAGCATGTGAGAGACGGTGGGTTCCATGCCCACACCGAGAAGGAAGGAAAAAATTGAGAGAGAGAGAGAGAGAGAGAGAAAGCAAAAAGAAGAAAGAGAATATTATCAACAACTCAACAAGGTAGGAGCCAGGGAACAGGACCCAAACACACCACCTCCTCGAGGGCAGTGACCCCATCCAGGGCTTTCCTGCCCTTGCCAGCCTCCCTTCTGGCGCCAGTTGTACCCTCAAGGGTGGCGGCACCAGTGCTGGGAGGAGCTACAGAGCCACGTGTCACCTCCCAGGCTTCTTCCACATCGAGACCACCTGGGCAGGCTGAGTGTGAGCACAGGAGGCGGGCAGGGCAGGGACAGGGCAGGGACAACTTAACACAGCACTGCTGCCACACAGCAGCAGTGTAAACCGGGGTCATGGCTAAGCCTCTCGGTTCCAATCTCCACATCCAGGGCAGGAAGCAAAAGTGTGCAGAAGTGGAAGTGAGATGGTTTAAACCAGTGTGGTGAAACCACAGCAGCGTGCCACAGAGGGCTGTTATTATCATTGAAAGCTCTCAAAGGTTCACTATCCTGGTTTAAACCCTTCCTGAGAAAGGCAGACCAGCACCCCATCCTGAGGGGTGATCCCAACCTGCACCAACCTCAGAGCCCCAGCTCCTGCCTCCTACCTGCCTCCAGCCAGACAGCCGATTCTCCCAGCTTAGCGCAACTCTGGCCACATCGTGTCCTACTCAGAACCTTCAGTGAAGGGGAGGGCTGGTGCCAGGCTTGGGGGCCAAGGCAGGAGGGCCATGAGAGCCTGGGGGTTTGGAACCAGCCCAGGCAACATAAAGAAACCCAGTTTCAAAAATAAGCAAAACAGGGCCGGGATTTAGCTCAGTGGTGCCACCGCCTGCCTTGCAAGCGCAAGGTCCCGAGTTCAATCCCTGGTACCAAAAAAAATAATAATAATAAGCAAAACAAACCTTCATTAACTCATTACCAAGGGGGAGAGATGACAGATGCCATAAATGTGCTGCTCTTTCCCCTCTAAGACACTGCATCTGTTGGCACTTTCCTTTCTCAAGCGGCATTCCAGACGATGCTGCCAACCAGTCAGGTTAAACCCATTTTCCTGGACACTGGGTTAAAGGTGGGAATCCAACCATATGGGTTCATTGTTTTCCCTTTCTACAGACTCAAGTAGAATGATAATAGCAAAGAACTTTTAAAAATGTGCTGTACATAGGCTGGGCATGGTGGCACACACCTCCAATCCTAGCTACTCGGGAGCTGAGACAGAAAGATTGTGAGTTTAAGGTCAGCATGGGCAACTTAGTGAGACCTTGTCTCAAAAAAAATAAAAAGCAAAATAAAAAGGATGGAGGGATAGCTCGGTGGTAAAGTGATTGCCTAACATGTATGTGTGAGGTCCTGGGTTTGAACCTTAGCAATGTAAAAAAATTGTGAAAGAGGAAAAAAATGGAGAAGACAGGACTTCAAACCGACAGGACTTCAAGACACGTTAGAAAACTGGAGGCTGATTCCCAGGACTGGAATGGATTCTGCAGGGCAAGTAGCAGAAGGCTCCCCATGGAAGGGAGCAGAGCAGATGGCTTGGGGCTGGAGGGGCTGGGGAGACACTGCTGTGAAGAAAGGCCAGGCCAGAACCCTGCACATGGGCTGGCTGGACCCCTCCTAAGAACAAGGGACACTTATACCAGAAATGACGCAGGCGGACTCGGGCCTCGGCGACACGGGGACTGTTATAAAAGACGGGGACGAGACAGAGGAAGAAGCAAAATCAGCACCAGAAATGGCTGGAGCCCCTAACCCTCTCCTCTGTCCTATTCCCAGAGCACTGTGGCCAAGGGCCTCCCTTCCAGGGAAATTAATGGAGTGTGTGGAGAAATGAAATCATCCCAGGATAAGGAAAGGTCTAGCAGACACAATGGCATTCACTAATCTCTTCTCGGCTCCAACAGTCTTAAAATCAAGCCCACCTTGCACCCAGGGCTCACAGGCACTGCTAACATGGACAGCCAGCACAGACAGCAAAGAGAAACGTACACAGACTGGACTTCTTCGAAATTGGAAACCCTTACACTATCAAGAATGTGAGGCTAGGTGTGGTGGTACACACCTGAAATCCCAGCACTCCGGGAGGCCAAGGCAGGAGGGTCATGGGTGTGAGCCCAGCCAGGACAACTCAGTGACTTAGCAAGACTCTGTCTCAAAATGAAGGACAAAGAGGGCTGGGGATGTGGCTCGATGTGAAAGTCCCAGGTTCAATCCCCAGTATCAAAAAACAAAAACTAAACAACAACAACAACCAAAAAAAGCCTACCAATGGGGAGAAGATATTTGCAAATCACACATCTAAGGACTTCTCTCTAGAATAAATAAAGAACACCTAGGAAAATCAGGAAAAGATACATAACTCAAAATAAAAATGGACAAAGGATCTAAACAGACATTTGTCCAAAATAGATATACAAATTAGCCAGGCGTGGTGGCACATGCTTGCAGTACCAGTTACTCAAGAGGCTGAGACAGGAGTATCCCTCAAAGCTTGCCTGGGCAACAGAGTGAGACGGTGTGTGGGGGCGTTATGCAAAACGGCCAGTAAGCACATGAAAAGATGCTCAACATCTTTAAGCATCAGAGAAATGCAAATCAAAGCCAAGAGAGGTGCCCCTGCAGAGCCACTAGGTCAGCTGCAACCACAGAAAATACCAAGTGTTAGTGGGAATATAAGGAAACCCAGGAGGTGGAGCCAGGAGGATCCTACGAGTTTGAGGCCATCTTGGGCTCAAAGTGAGTTCATTGTCAGTTTAGACTGGAAAAAAAAAAGCTCTTAAAAATGGATCTTCTGGGGCCAGGGATTTAGCTTATGGTGCAGTCGCCTGCCTAGAAAGCGGAAGGTCCTGAGTTTGATCCCTGGTAGCCAAAAAAAAAAAAAAGGATCTTCTCTTTTCTCAAAAATTGTTTATGATCCAGATTCCTTACTCAAAATATTAGTCAAGTATAGGGATGTAAAAATGATATTTCAAACAGGCATCTTTTCTTAGCGGCACTACAGGATGTACTGCAGAAACATCAGGGGAAGGGGCCCCTGGAGCTCCATCCACACACTGCCCAGCAGGGTGGGCCAGTCCCAGGCTGTGGGTGAGCGCTGGGCTGGGTTCGCTGCCCGGGCCTTGACACCCTCTGTGTGTGAACAGCCTCTTTCTAGGACCAGGAAGCTTCCAGATTATCAGAGTGGCGAGAGGCTGTGACAGGAGATGTAAGCAGGGCCGGTGTGGTCCCAGGGGAAACAGGACTAGGGGAGTGGAGCACCCAGGCCTAGCCCCGAGGCAACCCAGGACCTTATGGAGGCCAAGGCCCTCCGCCTCCCCCAAGAGGCCTGGTCTGCTAGGGGCCTGTCTGACCTTGCCTGCCTTCCTTCCCCCACGGCAGATGCAGGGCTCCCAGGACCAGGCTCTGCCAGCACAGGCCATGTCTTGGGCTGGGCTGTCTGAATGGGGTACAGCCTGGCCTGGACCAGCGAAGGCTGGCTGACCGACCCGAACCCTACATGCCCCTTCTCCCAGCTCGGTCCAGCCCACTGCAGACCCGGGAACTGGTACCAAAGTTGCCCTTCAAAGGCTCGGCTACAGCAGGTGCTTGAGGCTGGCTCTTCCCCTGCCCTTTGCTTCCCCTGTGAGTCTTTAGCCCACACTACAACCTGCGTATGGCCCCACTTTCTGGCTGGCTGCCACTACCACCATCAGAAAAGCCTGGGCTGACCTCAGGGTTGGCTCAGTGGCAGAGTGCTTGCCTAGAATGCACAAGGCCCCATGTTCAACCCTGCAGCCCTGTTCTCTGGCATTCGGGACCCCATTCCCCATTCCCCTCTCTGCCAGCAGAGGCTCCTTCTATGCTTGCTGCTCCCTGGCCCCTCAAGCTGCCTCCCAGCAGCCAGCGCACGATGCTCACCTCACCCCCGACATCACCACAAATGCTCTGAGGTGAAAGGGAGGGTTTATTCTAGGGCTTACCCAAAACTTCACAAGAAAAAAGGCATTGGAGGGTCCCCGTTCGAAGAGCTCCTTGAGCCCACCCTTCTTTTCTGGGAATTTGTCACAGATCTGGCGGACATCTATGGCTTCGAGGTAGGGATCGCTGTAGCTTGGACTTGCCTGGCCGATGTGCACAAACAGGTGCTTGTTGTACTGTGGAGGGAATGGTGGTCTGAGAGACAGGAAGGCAGGGCAGACAGGGTGGGCCAGTGCTTCCTGCCCTGCTCTGGACCCCACTACTCTGTGACCCGGAACGAGTCATTTTACCTCTCTGGGCCTCAGCTTCCCCAGGGGGAACTTGGGGATGGTGCAGGTACAATTCTTTTGTTTCATACTGGGCAGGAATAGTATCGTTGATTAATGGGTTCCTCAGCTAACACATGTTGAGAGTGTTGGAGTTAGACAGTCTTGGCCTCCTGTCAGCAGGCCTCCTCTGAGTGCTTGTCTGGCCTTTGCAGGTGACACTGGTCACCCAGGACCCCAGACACTAAAGAGGACAGCCCAGGGATGGTGTCCCAGAGGATGGGACTTGGACACAGGAGTCTCCTCAGCTTCCTGCCGGCCTCTCAGGGCCAGGGAGTGCAGGGAAGGACCTGGGGTAGTTTGGGGTGGGAGCAGCTTTGGACTAAGAAGGAGGAGGGCTTGCAATAGCAGTGTGACAGTGAGCAGGGATGGGGAAGGACTGGGGTGAGGAAAGAGAAGAAAGGGCAGGGAGGGCCAGCCCGGGAGCCTAAGTAAGCCTCAGAGTGTGGCAGAAGAGCAGGCAGGAAGCCAAAAGCAGGTGGAGAGTGAGCCACAGGAGACAGTGTGGTGCGGGAGCTTGCGAGGACTCACCGTGGCTGGGTCCTGCTGCTGCTCCAGGAAGGCAGAGAACTCCAACATCCAGAGCTTGGAGCTGGCCACACTGCGGCCCTGCCACGGGGGCGCCAGGGGTGCGGAGGGCAATGAGGCAGGTCCTGAAGGAGATTCAAACCCTGAGCACAGCGGGAGAGGCACACAGAAGCTGCCATGTGCCCTCCCTGCCTAAACCGTCTTCAAGGCCCCTGGCTCACTGGCGAAAGCCGCATCCCCCTCAGAGGCAGGAGGCAGGTATGGCCGAGATCCAGGGCAGCTGGAGCGGAGCCAAACTCCAGGGAGACTGAGCACTGGAGGGCTGCCACAGCAGGCACCGCTGGGCTGGTGCCTTCAAGCCACCTCTGGTCTGGGGAGGAAGCTGCCTGACCAGCCCAGAGCTGCTTCTCTGGCAGAGCAGAACCTGGCCCAGAAGAGGCCGCAATACAGGCTCACTAACAAATGAATGGGGCCCAAATGGGTCCCTATGGGTTGTCGGAAAAGGCTCCCGTAGAAGGCCATGTTATAAAGAAGGGATGAAGGGGCTGGGGATTTAGCTCAGTGGCTCCAACCCCTGCCTTGAAAGCTCAAGGACCCGAGTTCAATCCCCAGTACCAAAAATAAAAATTAAAAAAAGGGATGAGGTCACATGGGAAACCCTGGGTGTAGACTGGAAGGGCATTCCAAGCCAAGGAAACAGCAGAGGTGAGCGTGCCAGCCCAGGAGCCAACTTGGCGAGACTAGAAATTCACTGGGGACACAGAAAGAGGGTGAATCTGGGAAGTGGCAAGAAGCAAGAAGCCACAGACAGGCGTGAAAGCTTTCCCAGTGGGAAGTGACTCAGGGCCATAGAATGGGGACACGGGAGCACACAGGGAGAAATGTCAGCACTGGAACAGTGGCCTGTGAGGGACAAAATTCTAGATGGCCCCAGCGTTCCCATTGGGGAGTGTGGTCAACAGTGGTCCCCGGTCAGAGGCAGAGAACTCAGGGGCACGTGGAGGAGGGTGTTTAGAAGGGACAGTCAGGGTGGGCGACAGCCACTCAAGACACAGCCAGTGCTTAATGCATCTGCTGAACCACTTGTTCTTTCACGCATCCACGCACCGCTTACTGAGGAACTATATCGCACCCACGTGTGACACAATACACAGAGACAGGAGTGACAACAAAGGTCACACCGTACAGACAGAGGGGAGCACACAGTGTGGGGAGAAGCAAGGGCAGGGGACAGGAAGGAGGGCGCCAAGGGGTAACAGGGGTGACAGAGGTGACCAGAGAACCCCAGAAGGCAATCCAGAGTCATGTTGTCTTCCAAAGTCACAGAAGCATTAAGCCCAGAAACAACGCAGCAAGACTGGCACCCCAGCCAGGGATTTAGCTCAGTGGCACCACGCCTGCCTTACAAGTGTAAGGTCCTAAGTTTGATCCCTGGTACCGAAACCAAAAAAAAACCCAAAAAACAAAAAAGCAAAATTGAGCTTTGAAAAGTTTTGGACTAGGGATTTAGCTCAGTGGTTTCGGCACCTGCCTCACAAGTGCAAGGTCCTGAGTTCGCTTCCCGGTACAAAAAAAAAAAAAAAGACTGGCACCTCAGAGCATCACAGGACTGCAAGAGGTGATGCGGAGCCAGCTACAAGGCCACTGCAGTACCAGGGAAGCGTCAGAGGACCCGAGTGAAGACTGCATCCATGTGGGCAGAGAGTGCAGGGGATTGGGCTGGACTTGGTGGTGCTCCATGTAGGGACAAGGGGCAGCGGCACTCAGGTGCCCAGGGTGGAAGGAAGCCCAGGGCCAGTGTGACTGTTGGCAGCTAGGAAGCCTCCACACCAACCGAGGATGCCTCCTAGGAGGGGTGAGGGGAGCCCTGGGCACAGCTGACCGGCGGCCCTGCCCTGGCACCTTCCAGGCCATTTCCCTCAGGTCCCCCAGGCCAGGCTGGAGCAAGGGGCCTCTTGGCCTGCCATGCGAAGGAGAGGACAACAGGGATCTGTCAAGCTGGAGACCCTCAGGGCCACAGCCCGCCTGTGAGGGCAGCTGCCCCTGGCACAGCACTACCTTTGAAAAGAGGACAGCAGTCCAGACCCCTCAAGGGGACAAACGGGCTCCGCACGCTAGTAGAGGGCAAGGAAAGGCTGCAGGCAGGACCCTGGGACACACGGCCTAGGCCTGCAGCAGGGCGGCATCTATAGACATGCAGAGGTCCAGGGCAGGAGCTGCAGGGCCCGATGTACAGGGGAGCCATTCTGGCCTACCCACCTGGCAGAAGCAGCGGAGGCTGGACAGTGTAGGTTTGCTGAGAGAAAGGTTTCACGCTGCAGGGGAGAGGAGGGACCATGTCAGCGGCTTGGAGCAGGGCCCACACACTCTGTGGCGGGCCCTCTGTCGGACCAGCAGTGGTCTCAGTGGCTTCCACCTCCCTCCCCTCCCACTGCCTCCTTCAGCTTCTGTGGCTAATCCATAGGAGCAGCACATCTGCTGGAGAATCTGCCCTCCTCTGCCTCCCCAGCCAGCCTGAGGGCTGATTCTTAGCCTCCTTCCCTCTGAGTCCCAAGCTTGGCCCAGCCCCACCCTGCACAAACAGGAGCTCCAGCAAATGGCACCCCAGGGTGTGGGCATTGCATGCAGACGGCACTCCATCCCACCCCCATGGCCAGGCTGTCTCCTGAGTTTCTGGTTTGACTTCAGTTCAGACAGCAACTAGTGGCAGACACCAGCCCATACTCACTCATTGGATGTTCCAACTTGGCCTGGTAAAGCTCCTTGCCAAAACTGAGAAGGCAAAAAGTACGATCAGCACAGCTGTGTGGACACAGGGCCCACAGTGAGGGAGATAGAGCAGGACCTCAGCTTCAAGGAGGCTGTGCGCTGACCCCAGCAGCAGGAGGAAGGAACGCGGATGTCCCTGTCCAGCTTGCTAATGCTAACAGGCTGTAGGGATCCCCAAGTGCTTCCAGGGGCACCAGGCTCCAGCAAGGCTCTGTGGATAAGACGCCCCACAGACAAAATGTGCAGGGGAGAGTCCCAGAGCACACAAGCTTCTGAAATGCCGAGGGCGGTGTTGGCCGACCTGTGCCACTGTGCTGCAGCAGGCACTCAGAGCCCTTTCAGTGGGCACACGAGCCAAGCTGGCCCAGCAGCTAGGCATCAGTAATAGTTGTTCTTTCTAAACTAAATCTTCAGTATTCAAGTTTAACTGCAGTGTTGGCACTTTGTGAGAAATAAGTGGGTTTTGGGTTGCAGTTTGGGCACCCAGTCTCTAAAAGGTTCCCCATCACAGGCCTCAGGTCAAGAAATCTATTTAGGGGTACAGGGCGCAGCTCCGTGGTACAGCGTGTGCTTAGCATGCATGAGGCCCTGGGTCTCATCCCCAGGACTGAAACAAAATCTAATGTCCCAAACCGACTTGCCCATATGATCCCTTATTGTCACATCCCTTTAACATTTGTGCTCTCTGGAGTAATCTTTGACATATAGTGGACAAGAAGCCCACAGAATAAAGGGCCTGTCCCTTCCCCCTTGTGCCCAGGGCAGAGCTGTTGGTGCATCTTAAAGACCCTGCGGTCTCTACAGCCTCAAAGACTCCATGAGGACACAGCCCCAGGAAGGAGCGCTTCTGGAACACTGCTAAAGGGCACCCAACGGCAGGGCCTTGAGCTTCAGCTCCACTCCCATCTGCAGCCTGGGCCAGCTCAGCTGTCAGCTGATGCCGGCCCCTGCCTTGGCTAAAGGCCTGCTGTGTCACTACCAAGGGGCCAACATGGCTCTGTCAGCTGAGCCTCAACTCAGGACAGCCTGGGGCCCTCGTACCTTCCTCCCCCGGCACACCTGGCTGGAAAGGACTGAAGTATGGAAACTGAACCCTCAGGCTCCCTCCAGCTGTCTGGGCCACCCCACTTACCCCGGAGACTGCAGGGCAGCCTGGCCCTCGGGCCAGGGCCAGTTTACCGTGGCAGGTGATGGCTGAGATGATCTGGGTGGACGACAGGGCAGCCATGCTCTGCAGGGCCTTGTCCTTCACTCCCTGAACCTGGGGGACATTGAAGGGGACTCAGTGTGCAGGCTCCATGCTCCATGCAGGCTCAGGTGAGGCAGCGCTGACTGAGGATGAGGGAGCCGGCCCAGTCTGTGTGGCACTCTACCTTGGCCCTGTGACTGTCTCTTGGTTTCCCTGAGTTTCCACTCTGTCACAGCAGCATGAGCCTGCCCGCCCGTCATCAGGGCTTAAGAGGGCCTTGGAGATCAGCTGCCAGACTGCGTTTCTTTTCATTCAGTACTAGGGCTGGAACCCAGGGTTTTGCACATGCTATCAAAGTGCTCTATCACTGAGCCACACCCCCGGTGCTGTGTCTGGTAACCATGGAGGCAGCTCAAGAGTCGGGTTTTAGATGGGCAGGGTGGCTCAGGGGTGGAGCAAGGCCCTGGTTCTAAAAAAAACAGAAAGGGAGAGGGGGTGGGGGAGAGAGAAAATTAGGAAGAACAAGAACCTGCCCTGAAACCCAGCACCTCTTAGATGGCATGACGATGCTAAGTTTCTGCTGGATATCTTCTCAGGGTGCAGAAGGGGCTGTCCTTGGCCAGGTGGGCTGTCGGAGCCCAAAGACAGGGTCCTGTGGCCCTACCTGCCTCATCCTGCCCTATGGGGCCCCTGCACTGTAAGCACCATGGGACTCCCCTACCTTTCAGTGCCAGAATGCCAGCATCACTGCCTGTCCCCTACGGGTTCAAAGAACCAAAGAATGGGTTCAGCCTGCATTGGCCCTGAATACACAAGCATTTAGGAAACCCTTGGTATGTCACCGAGAATAACAATATAGGGCTGGGCATGGAGCTCCATGGTGGAGCTCTTGCCTAGCATGTGCAAACCCCTGGTGCCCATCCCTGGCCCTGCAAATGTGAACTCCAAGGCAGTACTGTACTTGTGTAAGTCAGCGGTTTTCCTCCTGGGCTCCATCGTTCCAAAAAGTTTTCAAAACTGATGAGACATACTCTCTATTTCAAAGAGCCTAATGGGAATCACATCTTTGTCCAAAATAAGACCTCACACATAGACTAAGACCCTAAGTGCTTTTTAGCACGTGCAGCTTTACAGGTGCTAAATGGCTTGATTATGTCAGTCCAGAGCTCTGACTAGAAATTTATGATGAATATTGTGTGTGTGTGTGTGTGTGTGCGCGCGTGCGTGTGTGCACTGGGGATGGAACCCAGAGCTTATACATGCTAACCATGTGCTGTACCACTGAACCACACCCCCAGCTGTGATGAACCATTTAAAATGGAAAAACAAATAAACCATTATCTGATAATTAAGCTGGGAGGCCCAGGCCTTCCTTGAGTACTGCAGAAGCTGGGAACTGTGGGAGATCCTGTGACTCACAGTGACTGTGGCAGGATAATCTCCCTGATCCACACACGAGCCCTGGGAGGCAGAAAGTACGGTGGCTGTAAGGATCAGAGGTGCCCACCCCAGCACTGCTGGCAGTGCAGCCAGCACCCCTGTCCCACCACTTCCCAGGGTGTGGCCCAAGATAGCACATGGGAGGCTTCCGCTGTGTTACCCACTTTAACTCCCAGGAGGATAGAGAACAGCAGGAACCCCATTATAGGGTGAAGAACCTGAGCTGGAGCTACAGACATAACTCAGCAGTAGAGCACTTGGCTGCACACAAGAAGCTTTGGGCTTAATCCCCAGTGTTGATTCAAAAAAAAGAAGAAGGAAAGAAACTAAGGCTCAGAGAATTTAGGTGACCAGGGTGCCAACAGCAGCGATGGCCTGGAGAGCCTATTCCACAGTATGGCTCGCATGTGTCTCCAAAGTCCACGTGTTGGAAGCTCCTCTTAATCAGGTGTTTGTGGTGTCTGGGAGGTGATTAGCATTAGACAGATGAGGCCAAGGGCGGCCCTCGTGATGGTGTGAGTGGCTTCACAAAAGGGAGAGAGATCCACGTGGAGCACTTGCTCTGTCTCCAGGCAGTGCCTCCAGTGCTACGATGCAGACACCAGGTGCGAGGCCCACACTCCGAGATCTCCCGGCTGTCGGAACTGGAGCCACAGAAGTTCTGTTCTCTACACTGTTTTTTACAGTGCTGGGGATTGAATGCAGGGCTTTGTACATGCTAAGCAAATGCTCACCACTGTGCTACGTCCACAACACTGCCCCCAAAACGGCCCCCATTCTAAGACATGGCCTTGCTATGTTGACCAAGCTGGTCTTGAACTCTTGAGCTCAAGTAATCCTCCCACCTCAGGATCTCAAACACCCGGGACTGCAGGAGTGGGCCATCAAGTCCAGCTTTATTCCTTGCTGATCTCCAGCCTCTGGCAGTCTGTTATAACCACAGAGCGCTAAGACAGCCCAGAGTTGCACAGAACAGCCTGTGCCAACCAGACAGGCAGTGGAGACACATTAGAACCTGCCAGGCACCACGGAGGGTACAGGAAACCACCCTGAATATAGAGTATCCCTCGGACACAGCTTGAGCCGAGGAAGGCTGTCACCGGCCCCTCCCCTCTGTCCTGGGGCGACACTGGAGGCTTGCTCTCAGGAGCTGTCCTGACAATGAACAGAGGTTGGCAGTCTAGGTGCCTCTTCCCAAGGACACTTGTACTTTCAGGAGGAAAAGCCGCTCGGCCACCCACCCCACCTCTCCCTCCAGAAGCACAACTTGGCAGGCTGTGCACCAGTCTCTGAGCTCAACCCTGGATGATGAGGCCGGGCAGCTCCACCCGCCTCGTGCCAGCAACTGGCATCCCTTCCTGGATCCCCGGTCTTAACAAATGACTGGGCTCAGGAAACCACATCCTTGGTGGCCAAGCTAGGAGTTGGGAGGAAGGGAGGGAAGACGGGAGGGCACCAGTGGCAGGAGCACGGCTGAGGAGTCACTGAATGACCGCCCCGTATCACTGCCAGCTCATGTGGATGTGGAAGGTGAAAGGGGTCCCAGGAGGCTGTGCGACCTGACCAAGCACCCATGGCCACAGAGGGAAGGGCAGGGCTGGCAGCAGTCACAGCCCGAGGACAGCTACCTGGCCTTGCTGTCCACTCAGCACCTGCTCACTTTAGGTCCCAGAACCCCGTAAGAGTAGGACAAAAAAATCCTCAGGTCCATCTCTCTAGGAAAACATACACACACATGAAAGATTGCCATGTTAAAGGTCTGTGGCTCCCACCTAGCAATCCATGGACGGCTGCCCTTGACCCCCAAATGGAGCCCAGGGCAAGGGTGTGTGTGGTGCTCTGAACCACACCTGGGCTAGCAGGAACCGTCCCTGCCCCTGGACACTCTAAGCAAACACTGGAAGTCTGTCCTCTACCTTCCACCTGCCAGAGTCCCAGCCAGCTGGAGGCAGACAGAGCAGGGCCCGCAGCTGTGGCCAGGCCACTTGCCCCAGGCAGAGGAACAAGGTGCCTGGCCACAGCTGTGGGGTGCAGGCGACAGCCAGACTGGTGGGGGCGTGGCTTGCTGGGAGGCAGTAAGATCTACAGTTCCCACTACCATGATCCAAGGGACCAATGTTAGGCCTTGGACTATGGGGCCAGTTGGGACTTGTGAGATCATCTGCATCCATGGCTCTTCACGGGGGTTCTGAGGTGCTCTGGTTCTTGTTTAGTAGAGACAGGCTATATGCGAGGAGGGCTCTCAGGCCTGCTTCTCAGCAAGCTAGGTACAAGCAGAACAGCTTTTCAGCATACTTGGGTGAGATTGTTGTTGGGAGAGAAAATAAAAGAGACCTTCATTGCTTTAAAAAAAAATAGTTTGTAGCCAGGCATGGTGGTACACTTCTGTGATCCCAGCACTTTACTTGGGAGGCTGAGGCAAGAGGATCTCTAGAAGTTCAAGGCCAGCTTAGAATACACAGTAAATTCAAGGCCAGTCTGAACTGCACAGCCAGATGTTATGGCTGTGTCTAGATGTGCCTGCAAAGCCTCATGTGGCCAAGGTGGGGCTTTTTCAGAGGTGGCTGGATCTAGAGTGTGTGATGCTGGGATTGATTCATGGTGCAGTGCTAGGCTCAAGGGCCTAGGATTAAGGGTGTGAGTGCTGCCTGCCCTAAGCAGTCTGGATAAGAAAAGGAGCAGAAGGGCTCTATCAAGGTCCCTTGTGCTTTTGCTGTTTCTGCCTGCCATGAACTGTTTCTCCTCTGCAACACCCCTCTGCCAGGCCACTCTGCCTTGCAGCCAGCCGACTATGGACTGAAACCTCTTTGAACTACAAGTCAAATAAACTTTTCCTACTTTAACTTTGGGTGTCAGGTATTTTGTCTCAGTAATGAGAAAAATAACAAAGACACAAGACCAGTCTCAGAAAAAAAAATTAAAATTAAAAATAAAGTTTGTAAACTGCTTGTTTAATCCAATGGCCCAACGTTAGATTTTTCCAACTGGCTGCACAGACTCTGCTGTAAACACCTCTGTTGTCAGCCCACTCCTGCCTAGTGACCATCAGAAAGGCCCCTGGCTTCAGAGACCAGGAGGCCCAATTTCCCAACAGGAAGCCCATTGGCACAAGCCTTGCAGCTGGGCAGACCAGGGAGGCAAAGCAACTGTCAGCCTTCAGCGGCCCCTACTGCGATTCCACCAAACCCTGCCACCCGAAGCGCTGTGGCTGAGGGTGCTGAGGGGTCCAGAGAGGGACAGCAACTCAAGGGAGTCTTCAAGAAATGGGGTCTGGAAGGCAATGCAGCTGCTCTGAGCCAGGTGTACCCCAGTGGGAGCCTGGCCTGCAGGTCCCCTGGGAGTTAGGTGCCTGATCAGCAGGCACTGAGGTCCAGCAGAGAGCAGTCTCGGACTCATCCTCACTGTCCCAGACAGCAAGCAGCCCCTGGGTGCAGCAGCCCCTGGCTCAGCACGCAAGCAGCCAGCTCAGGCCCACAGGGAGATGGTCCCTTCTGGGAAAAGAGCCCCAGCTGCAGGACGCTGGGTCCACAGAGCCCCAGCTGCTTGTCCCCTCCCACTGCTGCTGTGCTCCTCACCTTGAGCTTGGCCTGGATCTCACGGGCTTTGCGTCGAGCCAGCACCTGGATGTGGCTGGAAACCTGTGGTAGGGAGAGAGGGCTCCTGTTCTCAGCTCCCAGGCAGCAGTTACCCCAGCCTCAGTCCCCCCCCACACACATCTGTGGCAGACAGATGGGTAAAAAAAAACCTCCCAGGAGGCTCTAGGCAAATCTCAAGTGCAGTGGCAATGTTTGCCATCTTTTCTGCTGTCCTGCAGAGGGGCTGCGACTCCCAGTGAGGCAGGAGCTTCCTCCTAGGCAGCAGAACAGGACCCCCAGGAGCCACCCTGTTCCAAGAGCCCACACTTGGTCTTGGGGAGGCTCCAGCCCCTGGGAGCTGCTGGAGTTGGGTTACCGCACCTGGGCACTGCCCGTGTCCCCAGCCCACCTGCTTTCTGGTGCGGGTCTTCCCTGTCCGAAGCTTGATGTAGCGGGCAATCAGTTCATTGCGACCTGCAGAGATTGGATGGCCAGCCTCTCAGTGGGAAAGAGGAAGACAGAAGAAAGGGAAGCAGAAGGTGGCTTCCCTGGGGATCCTCTCTTGCTCTGCTCTCCCTAGTGGTACTTGGGTGAGGATTCTGCAAGTCCCAGCTTGCCATCCTTGGACAAGGGATCCCCAGAGCAAAAGGAAGCCAAGGCTCTGCTGGTTGGATGGCTGACCGGAGGGCTCCATTTACGAGGCCCCCATGTCACTGGATGCTTGCAGCCCAAGGAGCCTCTGGAGCCTCCAAGACAGCAGCATTGCTCCTCCCTCCATCCTAGCCTCCCCCAGGCCTTCCGAACACTTGGGCAGCCCTGGGAAGTGTCTGGCCCTTGGTCGTCCCACGTGGGTTCCCACAGCCTTTGGAAGTGGCCAGAGCCTTATCAGATGTGCCATGTGTGGGCAACCAAGGGCACAGGCGTCCTATGTGCTGAGATCCTGGGTGCCCCAGAGAAGAGGCCTAGGCCATCACTCAGGCAGCAGAAACCGTCAGAGGTGCAGCTCCGTGGCAGAGCCCTGCTTAGCCTGCATCCTGCAAAAACCAACCAGGCAGCCAGACGACCAGCCTCTGCTTCCACCCAGCTCTGACTCCAGCTGGCGGGAAGGTGCTGTGGCTGCAGGACCCTGGACTGTAGGAGCCCCAAGTGTCCTCAATTATCATCGGTGACAAAACGAAAAGAGGCTCAGCAACTTGCTGGGAGAGGGGAGACCCAGCATGTGCTAGAGACAAGGATGGGTTCAGGGACAAGGGGTCAATGCAGGCTGGGTGGTCGGGGGCCTGGGTGGACGACTACTGGGTAGGAGCAGACCACAGAAGAGTACTGGGTGGAGGAGAGAAGGGCAAGAGGGCTTAAGCCAGGGGGAGGGATCACCCTCTGCTCCAGCCCTGGGGCTGCAGAAGCTGCAGGTGAGCCCAGCAGGCTGTCTGCCACCTGGGTGGTAACCAGACAGCCTGGCCAGGGCCACACTGGCTGCCCAGAGTCCACCCTCAGGAGGTCCCTCTGCCAGGAGACTCGCTGGTGCACTGGACTGGCTGTGTCTCAGGAAGAAAGGAGGGGACAATCAGACTCTGGAGACTGCCTGCAAGCTGGACTGAACTTGAAACTGCGAGTCCAGCAAGATGTCTCTGCTCACAGCTTTCCAGGGAAAGGTACTGTGCCGGCTCTGTCTTGGTCCAACAGTTCTACTCTAAGTCTGACTACAGGCACCCACGCTACAAGAGGCAAGGTCAAGTGATCCCTGGGGTCAAGGACCACAGGACTGCGACCTGGGAGCCAGGCTGAGGCCACAGCTTCACAGAGGGCTTTGGTTCTATGGAAAGCCACTTTCCATGGCCCTCACTCTGATCCTTCACTCTTTTTTTTGGCCCTTTTTAAAAACTTTGAGACCGAGTTATGCTGTCATTAAGTTGACAAGGCTGGATTCAGTCTTGCAATCCTTTTGCCTCAGCCTCCTAGTGTTGGGATTATAGGCATGCGCCGCCACACCTGGCCTTGCCTTCTCTTCTTAAATCTATTCCTTTAAGCTTTTTCCTCTTGATTTGTCTAACTAAAAAAAAAAATTTTTGTTGGTACCAGGGATCAAACTCAGGACTTTTCACTTGCGAGGCAGGTGTGGTGCCACTGAGCTACAAATCCGGCCCTTTTCAACTAAAATTTTATAGACTTAGGAGCCAGACCTTGAGTCTGGCTGGGTGAGAACATGGCTACCTCAATATCCTTCTCTGGACAATGGACACATTTTTGGCCTAAGTAAGCAGCCTGTTTTGGGGATGGTCTAGGGACAAGGAAGAGGCTGGTTCTGGAGTGAGGGCGTGGTGCCAAAAAGCAGGAATCCCAAGCTTGGTGCTGAGACAGTCGGAGGGGTCGGCAGGCAGGGGACACCGGGGGACAACCCTGCACACAGGCAGCAGTGGTCCCCATGGGTACCTGTGGGCTTCTGGACAGCTCTGAGGAGGAGACCACACCCTCACTGGGTCCCTCCCCAATACCTGGCACCTGCCAACCAAACGAAATGAGGACTGAGGACTGAATGAATGAGTCTTTCATGGCTCTGCCTTTTTCTTTTTTTGAGACAGGATCTCACTGTGTAGCCCAGGCTGGCCTCAAGCTCTCGGCAATCCTCCTACCTCAGTTTTACCAGTACTGAGATTACAGGTGTGGGCTACCATGCCTGGCCTTGTGGCTCTACCTTTAAAAATACCCAGAACTGGGCTACTGCTCACTAGCTGTCTTGACATGGTCCAAACAGCCATGATCTGGCCTGAACCCTGGTAATCACCTCCCACCTGCATTTCCTTCTCTCAGTCTATTCTCAACACAGCACCAGTAGTGATTCTATTAAAACCCAAAGCCATCCGTCACTTCCATCTTTCTCAGAATAAAATTGTCTAAGTTGCTGTGCACAGTGGCACATGCTGTAATCCCAGCTCTATGGGACACTGAGGCAGGAGGATCATCAAGTTCAGGCCCAGCCTGGGTAACTTCAGGAGACCCTATCTCCAAATTTAAAAATAAAGGGCTGGGGGTGTAGCTAAGTGTGTGAAGGGCCTGGGTTTAATTCCCAGTGCTACAAAAGAAGTCTAAGTCCTGCCAAGCAGGGTGGTGCACACTTACAGTCCAGCTCCTCTGATGGCTGAGGCAGGAGAATCCCTAGAGCCCAGGAGGTCAAGGCTAACGTGAGCAGCATAATGACACCTTGTTTCTAAAAGTAAAAATGACCAAGTCTTTCACAGCCTGGAAGCTCCCACAGGCTCTGCCCCTGCCCTGCTCACCTCCCTAAGCACGCTCCCATCCAACCTCCTTGCTATCCCGAGGTGCCAGGCTCGCTGCCCACAGGGACTATGTGCCTCTGCTCCTCAGCAGGGAGCATTCTGCCCAGACACACTCAGTTCACTGTCCAGGCTCAGGACATCTGTGACAGCTGTGGAGCTTGGATGCCACTGTCTCCAGAGGTCTCCCACCAAAGCACAGAGGTGCCCTCCCTACCTGTGTCCATCTGCCCCTCCCCCTGCACTCTGTCTGTACTTTCCTCCCACTCACCTCCACACTCTTCTTCCCCACCCAAGAAGGGGGCTCCAGGAGAAAAGTGACTTTGAAAAATCCAATTATGACTTATTTATGTGGGATACCCAGAAAATGGCCTGAACATTGTATGCTCTTGACCAGTGCTTGTTAAATGAATGACAAGAGGTGGGCAGTAAGATGCTGACCAGATACCTGGCACACCGACTGCTGTGGCTTGTGTTTGGACGTCCCCCCAAAGCCTCATGAAGATAAGGAGGGCTTCCTTTTCCAGAGGTGGCTGAACCTGGAAAGTGTGATGCTGGGATTAAGGGATTAAGTGATTACTAAACCACTACACATGAGTGACTGGTTTGGCCCCGCCTTGATCCCGGTAGTCTGGATGGGATAAAAGGCGCAGAAAGATGCGCTGAAGGTCCCTGTTGCCTTTTCTCTTTTCCTGCTACCATGAACTGCTGCCCCTCTGCCATGTACCACCCTGCCTTGGAGCCGCCAATTATGGACTGGAACCTCTACGAACTGTGAGCTAAATAAACCTTTCCCCTTTAACTTTGGGTGTCAGGTATTTTGTCTCAGCAACAAGAAAAGTAACTAAGACACTGATCCAGCCTTCTAAGACAAAGGTGTGAGCTACACTGCCTCAGCCTCCCAGAGTGTGGGAGTAGAGCTAGGAGACAGGAGGGTGGCAGTCTGATGTAATTCTCAAAGTACTTGTCTCTTGGAGCTTTTCTGTACATGAGCAAATCCATATTTTGTGAGGTGTGAGGCATTTAAGAGTTGAGCTCTCTTTGGGGAAAAGCATGAGAGAAATAATGACAAGGCCTTGGGTTCCATCTCAAGCACTGAAAAAATAAATAGATAAATCAAGCAAGCAAGCAACCAACCACTAGTACTGATGGATACTTTCAGTATCTCAAAACTTATCAACTATCTAGTTTATGTATAGCTTATTGTATGTCAGTTGAGGCAGGACAGAAAAAAGCCAGGTAAAAAGGAGACAAGGAAAACTGTAATTTTTTTTTTTTGAACCAGGAAACGAACTCAGACCTTGTGCTTGCCAGGCAGGCATGGCACCCCTGAGCTAAATCCCCGGGCCCAGAAAACTGTAATTTTAAAATTGTACTTTTAGAAAAACTGAAGCTTCAGGAGACAAAGACCCCCAAGGTACAATGCCTTTTTCTCTTCCAAGAAACTTAAAACAATAAGCCTATGAAGGGGCTCCGACCCCTCCCTCAGGAAGCAGCACTACAAAGTGGGAACCTGTCCCTAACTCTCACACAGACTCTGCGTCTGACCTGGGCTGCCAGAGGGGCAGGGGCCACAGTAGGACCCACAGCCTACCTGGGCCCCATCAGGACATCCCACTCCAGCCTCTGCGCTCTCTGGAGGGCTGGCTCTCCTTTCCAGGGTGCATGTCCTCAATTCTGCCCGACACTGTCTAATGTCTGACATGTCTTGTTCTCACACCGCGAATCTCCCGTGGGTAGGGTGAGTGGAGGTACCGTCTCCTCTCTGGGGGACCTCCCCAGATCCCATCTGTTAACATCACGGAGACTTCAATAAAGCTGCTTTAACAACTAAGTGCAGGGACCCGGGCATAGTGGTGGACACCTGTAATCCTAGCACTCAGGAGGCTGAGGCAGGAGGGCTGGGGTGAGTTCAAAGCCAACCTGGCTACACGGCAAGACTCTGTGTCAACAAAGAAAAAAACAATTTTATGGATGAGGAAGGAGCTCACGTGAGCAAAGGTCACCTCCTCACACCATGTGCAGGTAATTATACCTAGTTGCCAGATAGGAAACAGGCCAGAAAACCTCACCCGGAACACCTGTCAACAGACATGCCTAGGACGACCTGCCCAGTTGCTCCAGGTGAGGCCACTTACTGTGATCCTAACCTGGCCCACTAAGATACTGGGTTAATGCAAAGGGCTCTCCCAGACCAACCTACCACTGGCTGAGGCCTTCACTCAGGCCCCGTGCTCACCCCACTGTCTGACTTTGCCCCTTGGCCAGTGTGGGTGGGCAGCACAGAAGCCAGACCCAAGTGGCTACGGCTGCCTCAGCTGTCTATGAAATGTTTTAACTGTAGGGTGCAGAGTGAGGTATGCATACATATAATGTGGGATGCTTAAGTGAAGCTAATTAATAGATCCATCACCTCAAATACCCTTTTTTGGGGGGGTGCTTTTTTCAAGACAGGGTGTCACTATATAGTCCAGCTTGGCCTCAAACTCCCCATGTAGCCCAGGCTATCCTCCAGGTAGAAACCGTCCTGCCTCAGTCTCCCAAGTGCTAAGATTACAGGCATGTACTGCTATGCCCAGCTCCAATACTTACCGTTTTCACGCAGGAAATATTTAAAACTTACTCGGTTGGTGCTGGGGGTAGCTCAGTGGTAGAGCACTTCGCTAGCATGAATGAGGCCCTAGGTTTGACCCCAAGGAAGGAATGAGAAGGGAAGGGAAGTTTTGAAGCACACTATATTATTAACGCTCATTAGCCTGCTGTGCAACTGGTGTCAGAAACCTTCCTTCCTCCTGTCTAACTGAAACGACCTTGGACCGGCGTCTGCCCATCCCTGGTCCCTGGTAACTTCATTCTCTATCCCCATGAGTTTGGTTACTCAGCCACATCCAAGGGAGGCCCCACTGTGTTGGGGATGCTGACTTCCCTCTGCAGGTCTCTGCTCAGGCCTCCCCCTCCCTCCACAGCCCCAGCCCAGCTGCAGGACAAAGTGCACCCGAGAGAGCGAGGCCTCCAGCCCAAGGCTGCAAGCCACACACAGCCCGAAGAGGGACAGAGCAAAGGCTCCGGACCCCGTCCTCAGTGCAGAGCCTGCCCCCAGCCCCTGCCAGCTCTGCCTCGATGCTGCCTCTTGACAGCTGTGTGACTACCTGTGAGTGCAGGCCCCTTCCCTTACACAGCTTGTCAGGATGCTGCTTCGCCTTGACTCTCCACTGGGCCCCAAGCACCCTGCACGGTCCTACCTGTGTGTGGGCTGATGCCTTGCTCTCAGTTCCCCTGCCCCTGCCTGGTGCCGCCCCCCCAGCTCAGGCTCGACTTTCTCCCCAAGCTGTCTGCAGCCTGAGAGCCTCCTGGGTGGTTCACTTTCCAAAGCTGCTCCTCCTTGTCTCTCCATGGAGACATGGACCATGGAGTCACTAAGAATAGACGTTGAGCCCTCGGCCCCAGCCTGGCTCGATGGGCCAGCACTTCCTAAGAACCCACTGACTACCTGGGTGTGGTGATGCACACCTAAAGGCCCAGTACTCTGGGAGGCTGAGGCAGAAGGACTGCAAGTTTGAGCCTAGCTGGGCAACTTAGTGACTCAGCAAGACCCTGTCTCAGGCTGGGGATATAGCTCAATGTGAAGGCCCTGAGTTCTATCCCTAGTACCACATTCACAAAAAGAATGCACAGGACGCCAAGTCGGGACACAGGAGAGGAGAAGCAGAGAACAAATGGAGACAGATAGGAAAACCAAGGAACAGGGCAGAAAGCAATGAGTGCAGAAGACAACTGCACCAGCCACGGCCTCCAGAGGAGCAGGGAAGAGATGAGATCACACAGGGCCTGCGCTAAACTGCAGAAGGGAGGCGGACAAGGGCTAGAATTGCTGTCCTCAACCCTGCCCCCAGGCCAGGGGCAGCCTACCGGAAGAGGTCAGAGGGACAGCATGGCAGTGACAGGGCAAAAAACGGCAGCTGTGAGTGCGAGTGAGCACCCTTGGGAGCTGGCCCGAGAGTCTAGAGGTGCTGGAGGCATGGGGGGTCGGCCAGCAAGTGTGGGAGGCTCAGTGCAGAAGTAACAGGCGCTAATCCTTGGTGCGGCTCTGTAGGTCCTCTGCATGTCTGCCTGGGCCTGCTGGGGCTTCCTTACCAGGTGTTCCTGGCCTGGGCTGGGTGCAGGTCTAATTCCTGCTCTCAAAAGCCAAGGCCAGGCCCTGTCCCAGGTCTGGAACCATCCTCTCAGTGCCTGGTCCTGCCTGCTTGCCCTCAGGACTGGCCCACCTGGCTCACAGTCTCTGGTGAGGGGACTCAGGAGCATAAAGACAGTGGTAGCATCCGGCTGGGGCCTCTGGGTGGGGCTGGAGGGCACTGGCCGAGCACAGCAGGTCCCCGAGGGGAGCAGTGGGGACAGAACACCAGAGTGTGACCAGTCTCAGTGGCTGGGCAGCACGTCCTCCACCCTCCTCCCAGGCCTATCCCACATGCTGGTGAGCTCAGCGCTATCTATACCTCCTGGCTGGATGGGCCAGCCTGCAGAAAGGCCCTCTCTCGGCTCCTCATGTAGCATGGCCTTGGATCAGCCTGGGCACGGTAAGAGGAGACAGGGCTAAGCTAGCATTTGGCTCCTGCAGGACCTCTGCTCATGTAGGCCAGGTGAGTCATCAGACACGGTGTCCTGCTTCCAGTCCCCTGCCCGGGCCTGACCCACCTGAGCCAGGGCCAGGCAGAGGCAGGGTGGGGAGGGGAGCAATGAGGGCTTTCGGGTGAAGGTGTAGCTCCATGCTTGGGGGCAGATGCCTGGTGGCCACCCTGCTCTCCACTCACTGCCTGAGGGACTCTGGGAGAAGCTTGTGGAAGGAAGGGCTGTAGAACCCCACTACCCAGGAACAAGGCAGGCTTGATTTCAGTGGGCTGAAGATGTTGAAGAGTATCATGATTTGGATCTGAAATGCCCCCTCAAGCTCACGTGTTGAAGGCTTGGTCCCCAAGGCAGCAGTGTCCAGAGGGGGCCTCTGGATGGTGGAGGGATCATCAGGCCACTGAGAGAGTCTCAGCCCAACAGGCTGACAGGAGATGGTAGAACTCAGGAGGGGCAGCATGCTGTCCCCAGCCCCTTCCTCCTCCTTGACTACCCTGCTTCCTAGCCACCACAGTGAGCAGCACTGCTCCTCCTCGAACTCCAAGACATGCTGGCTCACTACAGGCCCAGAAACTTGGAACCAAGGGACCATGGACCAAAACCTCTGAAACCAAGAACCAAGATAAACCATTTCCTCTTTGAAGTTGATTTTCTTGTGTAATCTGTGAGTGACAGAAATCTGATGCAACGTGTTCCCCCAAATTTATATTCACCCAGAGCTTCAGTATCTGATGCTGTTTATTTTGTCTTGTAACCCTGGGGCTTAAACCCGAGCCCTTATACTTGCTAGGCAGGATTCTACCACTGACATATACCCCCAGCCCAACATCTGACACAATCTGGAAACAGGGCTTATTAGTTAATATGCAGGCATATTAGTTAAGATGAGGTCACAATGTATCAAGGTGGCCCTAAATCCAACAGTTATATAGAGAGGGGGGCATATGGGGTGGGGGGGATGGAAAAAAAGAGGCAGGATATATCACATACAGGTGCACATTCCCTGTGATGAGTGTTGTCATTACATATATCTAAAGTATACCAATAAATGTTCTGCCTCAAAAAAAACAGATCTGATGGCTGGTGTTCTTATGAGAAGAGGACACAGGGAAGACAACTATGTGACAACAGAGCCAGATATTGGGAAGACTCGGCTGCAGCCAAAGAATGCCATAGGTCACCAGCAAGTCCCAGAAGCCAGGAGGAAGGCGTGGGACAGGTCACCCTCAGAGGCCCCAAGGACACCAACCCTGCCAACCTGACCCCACGCCCTGGCCTTCTGAGTGAGCATTTGCACTAGAGGAGGGCGCCGCTGTTCGGGAAGAGGAGAGTGCAAACAACGGCCCTGGCGGTGGGCAGCTGGCCTGCAGCCTTGGCGCTGGAGGCCCAGGAGGGCCCTCTGTGCTCACTGATGTCCACCAGGCACAGAGGCGCTATCGGTCGGCAGGTCCTGTCCTGAGGCCATTGCCAGACCAGAGGTCCTGGGGGCCTTCAAGATGGGCCGGAAGCCAGATCTGGGCCTGCAGCAGCTGCTCTGTCTTGGTTCTGGCTTGTCCTTTCCAGACGCCCTCTCCTCCACCCACGTCGTCAGCTGTGTGACTGCCATCCTTCCCACACAGTGGGTGGACTTGGGCCATTTCCTGAGGTGCCCTCGTGCCCTGGCCCACGTAACAAGGAGGGACAGATCCACTTCCCCGGGCGGCCCACAGAAGCTCCGCCTGCTCTGGTGGATGAGCTGAGCCAGGGAGGCGGGGCGAGCAAGGGCCACAAGTCTTTCTTGTGGTTCACCTTTCACAGGCCCAGCTCTAAATTCTCCATATCACAGCATCTCAGCTACAGGGCCCCACCCCCCTCACCCATCCGCAGGGCTCTCCTTAGATGCCCCCATCCCTTGGGGACTCAGTGCAGAGGAAGCAGTGCACACCTGGGAGAAGCCCTGAGAGGTATCTGGAGAGGACCACAAGCCTTGTGTCCATGTCTCCTGCTCAGTTTACTCCAGGCCTGGACTGTGAACCTGGGGCCTGATGCCCAGCCCTGCAGCCTCCTTACCGTACATCTTGCCCTCGTCTGACAAGATGATCTTGCGCCGGCCACAAGGCGGGTAGATGGCCAGGGCTTCCTGGAAGCTCTGCTCAATGTCCGGGCTCCACACGCCCTCTGCATCGTTGTCAATGGGCTTGTTCAATGCTTGGCTGCACCTGGACACGCTGCTCCCCACAGGGGAGTCGGGAGAGTTCCACTCGTTGGAGGTAATGGTGCCGGCCTTGCACTCCAAGGCTCTGCTTGGAGGCGTGCCTGTTGAGTCTGCTGGGACAGAGAGCATGGCACCGGTGAGCAGCGAAAGAACTACACAGGCCACCCAGAAGTGCCAAACCCCAAACCAGGCCCTCAGGGAGCCAGGGGGAGGTCTGTGAGGATGTGGAGGTTGGGGCTCTGGGCAAGTCCTCTCCCTCTGCAGACCTCTGCTGCTCACCTGTGCAAGGCACATGACCAAGGCACAACCTAAGCACGTACTGGGGACTCAGGCAAGGGCTTAGAGGTGGGGCAACAGGACTGTGCTAGGGAGTGTTCCGACATCAGATCAGCACCTTGCAAAGAGGAAGCGAAGCACTGCACATGGCTGATGGGAGTGTAAAACAGTGCGACATTGTGAGGACACTTAAAGAGCTCCAGGTGTGATGGCACACACAATCACCCTAGCACTCTGCGAGGCTGAGCTAGGACGGCCACGTTCAAGCCCAGCCTGGGCAACTTCTCAAGACCCTGTCTCAAAATTGAAAAGTAAAGACGGGGCTGGGGATTAACTCAGTGAAGGCCCTAAATTCCATTCCCAGTACCAAAGATGGTAAATAAATAAATAAACTTAAGACGATGGCTGGGGAATGTAGCTCAGTGGTAGAAGTAAGACACTTGCCTGGCATGCTAAAGGCCCTGGGTCTGATCCTTGGTACTGGTTCATAAATAAATAAATAAGAGCTATCATGGGATCCAGCAATCCTGCTTCTCCATATATAGCCAAAGAATGGAAATAAGGTCTCAGAAAAATATTTGTACACTCATGTCCATGGTAGCACTACTCACAATAGCCAACAGGTGAAGTGTTCATGCCCGGACGAATGGATGTACAAGGTGTGGTACACAGTAGTGTCATCAGGAAGAAAACCACGGATGAGCCTTGAGGGGACCAGGCTAATGAAACGAGCCCTTCACGAAAGTCAAACCCTACACGGCTGTCAGTTCCCAGCAGTCAGTCAGCGAGAGGAGGAAATGGAAAGCTGTCACTGAATGGAAGGAGTTTTAGTTTTCCAAAATAAAAAAGTTCTAGAGCGGGCTGGGGATTTAGCTCAGTGGTTCCCCCATCTGCCTTGCAAGCACAAGGTCCTGAGTTCAATCCCTGGTACCAAAAAAAAAAAAGATGGTGGGCTGGGAGGAGCTCAGGTGGTGGAGTACAGGCCAGCACACCTGAGGCCCTGGGTTTGGTCCCTAGCACTGCAAAAGGATTCCAGAGAGAATACAGAAAAGGAAGTAAGGGCCAGGGGTTTAGCTCAGTGGTTCCGCTGCCCGCCTCGAAAGTGCAAGGACCTGAGCTCGATCCCTGGTACCAAACAAAAGGAAAAGAAAAGGAAGTAATAAATGCGTATCATAGGGACACTGCAGAATACCAAATAGAGACAAGACTTCAAAACCTCCAGGGTGAGAAAGGGCAGGTCATCCAGAGAAGCCTGCCCTCAGCTGGGTGCTGGGCCGGCTCAATGCACAGGGGCGGGGCTGAGCTACCTCCACAGCCCCGGCCAGGGGAGCCCTAACACTCCAGAAAGTGACCACCAACCTGGAGCAGGAGCCCAGCAAAAGCGTAACCCAAGAATGAGGACTGAATTCAGGCAGTTCAGACAAAGACGGAGGGAGCTCTCACTAGCACTGAAGCATGAAAACAATAAAGGGAGTGCTTGAAAAGATCAGAGCTGGTGACCACAGGGGCCTCTCGTAGCCCTGCACCCTCCAGCGTGTCTGTCCGTCTTGCTCTTTCCTCTCACTCGGCCCAAGCTCCTCGGCAGAGCCAGTTTCTCATTCACTCTTTTATCTTTTCAAGTAAATTTTGCCATGGCTAAAAAAAAAAGGTAAGAGAAAATGGACTCGATGTGAATGGAAGACGTCACACAAATGGACCACGAGCAGGGCGAGTGACTACAGCGCTGAAAGTGAATCTAAGACGCTGGCTGCAGAGGGCGCCGGGTAGAGCACTCCCCAGCTCTCCGCGATGCCATCCCTCCCGAACCCGAAGTGCACCAAATGAAAAACAATGACTTGTTTACTTTGGGTATGCAACACACACACACACACACACACACACACACACACACACACGCACGCACGCAGAAACAACATTTCTGAATTGTAAGTCAGAAGGTTCACTTGATAAAATCCAGGACCTGTTCACAATAGAAACTCTTAGTAAATGGCTAGAAACAAAAAGGAATTGCCTCGGTCTAATCAAAGATACCTTCCCCAAACCTACACAATAAATGTTACACTTGATGATGGAACATTAGCATCGCCTTTAAGATGAAGACTACAGTAAAGAATGCACATTCTGTAGCCAGGCATGGTGGTGCACACCTGTAACCCCAGCACGTGGGAGGCTGAGGCAGGAGGATCACCACAAGTTAGCCTGAGCTACACAGTGAGTTCAAGGCCAGTCTAAGCTACATAAGCAAGACTGTTGCAAAAAAACAAAACAAAACAAAAAAAATTCTCATTCTGTGCTGAGGATGTGACCCAGTGGTACAGTACTTGCCTACTGTGTGTAAGGCCCTGGGTTCAATCATCAGCACCAAAAAAAAAAAAAAGCTCATTTTGGCCAGGTGTGTGGTCCAATCTTATAATCCTAGCACTCTGAGAGGCTGAGGCAGGAAGACAGCCCAAACTTATCAAGACTCTGACAAAAAAATAAGCGCTGGGGATATAACCCTGTGTAAGGTCCTAGATTCAATCCCTAGTACAAAAAAATTCTTATTTTTCAATGCGTACTCTATTTTAACAGATGTCCTAGACAAAAACACTAGGACAAGACAAAATGAACCAGAGACTGGAAAGAAGTAGCAAAAGTCTCTGTAGAAAAGACTCTACAAATTATAAAAACTTCTAAGAATTATGCTATCTCAACATCTCAAAATCAATTATATTCTTTTATATCAGAAATAAGGTATTAGAAAATATAATTTTAAAAAAAGTATTCCATTTAGAAAACAAAGACATAATGTACCCAGTAATAAATCTAACAAAATATGAGACCTTTTAACAGAAAACTGAGTTAATTGTTTAGAGAGACATAAGCCAGGCATGGGGATGCACACCTGTAATCCCAGCTACTTGAAGGCTGAAGCAAGAGGATCACAAATTTGAGGCCAGCCTGGGCCTCAAATAAAACATAAAATAAAAACATAAAAAGTCCTGGAGCTACAGCTCAGCACTGTGTGGGTTCAATCCCCAGTAACACACACACATAAGTAAATAAAGTAAAATAAAATACCTAAATGCAGGGGGGAAAGCATTTATGGATGGAAAACAATACCATAAAGATGTTGAATCACTCCAAAAACTCACAAATTCAGTGAAATTATGACAATAACTCCACAAGGTTTTCCACAAAACTTAAGCTCATTTTCAAAAGAAGTGGATGGGGCAGGGGGAGTTTCAAGTTGCTAACATTGTTCCCTTTCCATCTCCCCTTGGCTTCATATTTTGCAGCACTCATTCCTTAAATGATGCCTCCTTTTATTTTATTTTATTTCGTTATTTATTTTTTGGTACCTGGGATTGAACTCAGGACCTCTCACTTGCCAGGCAGGTGCTGTGCCACTGAGCTACATCACAGGCCCGAGGCCTCTTTTGAAAACCCTATACAGACTCCCTACCTGGGAGAGTCCCATCCATATTTCCATTTCTACTGTGTAAGTGTGTTTTTTATTTTGAGACACAGTCTCTCTGTGCTGCCCAGGCTGCCCCAAACTCCTAGGCCAGCAATTCTCCTGCCTCAGCTTCTCAAGCAGCTGGGACCACAGGTGCTTGTCCCAGGACCCAGAGCACCACACCGTCATGTGTCTTTGATGACCAGATTTGCACCTTTCCTGAGCTGTGGGCCTTCACAGCAACTGCCCACCATGCATCTCAACAGACATCCCAGCACTCCTCAAGCTCGACACGCTCAAGCCCAGCCTGAATTCTGTTCTTTTGCTCTCTCTGCAAATGAATCATTGCCCATCAGAGGGTAGAAACATAGGAGCATAGGCCAGGCGTGGTGGTGCAGGCCTGTAATCCCATAATCCCAGCACTTGGAGGATGAGGCAGGAGGATCCCCTAGAGTTCGAGGCCAGCCTGGGCTACAATAGTGAGTTTCAGGCCAGCCTGAACTACACAGTGAGACCCTGTCTCAAAAAACCAAAAAAAACCCAGAAGCATAGTTGGCCTTGTTCTTCTCCCTCACCCATTCAGTGACCACCTCCTGTCTCTGTCTCCTGAGCCATTTCACTGTCTCATGGCCCTAACCCCACCGTCCACCATGCCGCTCCATCAGCTCACAGTGTGGGAGCACCTGGATTATAAAGTGAGTAAATCCCTCTGGGATTTATTTTGGAAATTTGCAAAATGCAGGTGTGATGTGGAGGAATGAGACCCTGGTGTCGGTTCTGGTCCTGCAGCAAACAGTGGGCAAGTCGTGTCACTTCTGCAGGCCACAGTCTGCTTACCTGGCAGAACGAGTTCACTGCTTTGGAGACTAGAGTGCTCCCGAGCTGGGAGTGCCTGTGCTTCCCTCCTCCAGAGCCCCTGCACACACCTCGAAGACACCCATCCACCTGGCCATGCTCAGGAAGGCTGGAGAGCCGACCCGCACAGACAGGCTCCAGGGGGTGTTCAGTGCTCAGAGGGCTGGACACCACGGTCCTCCTCAGCATCAGCGACAGACAGTGCCTGAGGGGACAGGCGAAAGCCTAAAGATATGTGAGAGGTATGCATGCCTTTGTTCCTAATGCTTCAGATTGCATCCAACAGCCATTCATTAATGCTATGACTGCCTGAAGCTTTGTTAACCCTGGCTTTAGTCTAGATTTTCTTCTGTCCCTAACAGAAACACAGCATATGCTCTAAGAGGAATAGAGGGCACTGAAGGGACCAAAACGTTATGAGAGATGGAAAGAGGGTGGCCCATGCCCTGACCCTCAGAGAGCCAGGGGCTCTGGCCCTGTTCCACCAGAATCCCCTTTCCTTACCCTCAAAGTTGAGCCCAGGGTGGCCAAGCAGAACAGCTGGACTCTGCCCACAGGGAGGTTTTCTGAGGACCTGTACTCCATGTCCCCAAGACTGGGTCTGGGTCACCCAGGGCCCTGGCCACAGGCTTCAGTAGTGAAATGGAGTCGCTCCTGGCCCATGTGGTCCCGCAGCTCTGACCAGCTGGCCTCATCCACCTTGCAGCCTTTGGCCTGGGACCTGGTGAACCTCCCAGGAGCCCTGCCCCGGGGCCCAGCGTGAGGCCAACACCAGCCCAGAGAAGGTCCCTGCTGCCCCTTCCACAAGAGCTCCACAGTGGCCCGCTGCACCTGCCGGGGGAGCCAGAGTGAGGGACAGAAGTCATTGCTGAGCCAGGCCATGTGCCATGAACAGAGGAGTAAAAATAACCTCTGAATTAGAAAAACAATCCTAAATTCATTTGAAACCAGAAAAGGCCTAGAATAGCAAAGGCAATCCTGGGCAACAAAGGCAAAGAAGGGGGTATCACAATCCCTGACTTTAAATTATACTACAAAGCTATGGTGATAAAAACGGCATGGTACTGGCAAAGAAACAGACCTGAGGATCAATGGAACAGACTAGAGGATGCAGAAACAACTCCAGACAAAGGAGTCAAACACCTTCATTGGAGGAAAGATAGCCTCTTTAATAAATGGTGCTGGAAAAACTGGCTTTCTACCTGCCAAAGACTGAAACTAGACCCATGTCTTTCACCATGCACTAAACTAAAATCAAAGATCTAAATATTAAAACAGAAACACTAAAGAGAAAACACTAAAGAGAAGAAGAGAGAATAGGTGGAACGCTTGAGGACATAAGAGTAGGCAAAGACATTTTTCTTTTTCTTTTCTTTTTTTTTTTTTTTTTTTGCAGTACCAGGGATGGAACTCATGCTTGCAAGGCAGGTGTGGCACCACTGAGCTAAATCCCCGGGCTAGGAGTAG